CCGCCGCCGCCGCCCAGCAGGCCGGGCCCTCCCCCGCTGCCCCCGGGCTCCGCTGGGGGCGACGAAATCCCGAGGCTCCCGCAGCGCAATTTGTCCCTCTCGTCTTCGTCGTCCGCGCCTCCCTTGCCTTCACCAGGACGGTCGGGCCCTCTTCCTCCCCCGCCCAGCGAGAGACCCCCTCCTCCAGTGAGGGACCCGCCGGGACGATCAGGTATGGCAGGGCGTGCGGTGGGCCGTCCCCCTACATCCCCGCCGGCCCCCGAGTCACCAGTGACGTGAATCGAGTCCACCGAAACTTTAAGGGAACTCTGAGGCTGCTTTGACCTTTTAAATGACACAGAACTCATAAGATTTCCTCTTGACCTCACGTGAACCTCAGAGGAGAGGGGGACCAGTTTTTCTGTCCATGTTTCAGAGGTGAGGAGACTGAGTAACCAGTAAGGTTAAAAGATCCCAAGCCACGTTAATAAAGAAGAGGCTAGAACTTTCACCATCCATCTCATCACTCCACTCCTCTGTGTCCCTAAAGTGAACTTTTGCTGTCTCAACTGGGAACTAAATTTCCCATCTCCTGCAGGAGGGCCCATTATTCCAACCAGAAGGGCCGTTATTTAGGGCTACTGAATGTCTCCTGTACTTCTCTCTTCATCAGTCATGCTTTGAGGCCACTTCCCTGCTGGTTTAAGACACATAGTAGAGTCCATATTGCTGTTTGTTCACATCTCTGGCACATAGATTCCCTCAGAGAATCAGATAAAGGTATAAGGCCTTTCCATAAAAAAGCTCATAACCATAAGCTCAAATTTTGCCTGCTGTTTCATGGATTGAAGGACCTGCCGAGCCCATCTGTGCCCCAACTCAGGGCTGAGCAACATGGGTCTAAGGAAGAACTTTCAGAGTTCTTCCTGTGAAATGAAATGTAAGGAGCTTGTACTCTCTCTCCTACTTGTATTAGGCGCTTTTTTGGGTTTTTTTTTTTTTTTTTTTGGTTGTTGATGGATTCTGAAGAACTCTCTACTTTTTAAGTTTAACCTTATCATACATACAAGATGTTTGGAAATGGGGTATTTTTTGATGTATGAAAAGCTAACTGACCTTTGACCCTGTGACTTCAGGAACCTAATGAACACCATTTTTAAAACCAGTAGTCCTCAAACTTGATCAGATACTGAATCACCTGGGGAGCTTTAAAGGCCACAGTGCCTGGGTCCCTATCCCAAGGCTTCTGGTTTCACTGGTCTGGGTTGCAGACTGGGCTGCAGACTGGGCATCAGGATAATTAGAAGCTCCCCAGTGACTGTAATGTGTGGCAAAGTTTGAGAACCACTCCTTCAAATGGCTTTGCCAGGGAGAGTCAGCTACAAATATAAAAAGTTACTAGTCAGTTCAATCCAATCCTCTAGACATTGTGGCATGTCATCAAGTATTCTTAAATAAAAACAAGTAGTCAGATGAATGAAATGCAACATTTTCTTCTTATCCAACAGCTGTGGATTTTCCCCCAAAGTGGCTGAGGAGCTGTCTGCATGGCTCTACCAAATGTATGAATCAACAGATTAACTATTCCCCCAAACAGGACAGGCAGTGACATATAGTTAAAATGGTCATTGTTTCTGACATTACATAAGTCACACTTGTTTATTATAGAAAATACAGAAAAGTATAAAGAAAAAAAAATCACTTACAATCTTTTCACCACCACCATCCAGATATAACATTGTTTATATATACCCTTTCAGTCTTTTAAAAATGCATATATATACATGTTTGCAAAATCAGTATCACACTACATATACTATTGGCAATTTGGTTTTTATTTAACAATATCTCATTAACATTTTCTGATATGATTATTCTTCTACAACCTGACTTTTCCTGGTTGCTTAACAGTAAATCCTACAAAAGTACCTTGGCTTATTTATAAGTCACTTGGTCATACAGGCCATCTCTAGAGATTTGCTGTTGCGGATAATGTAGGGATACAGCCCTTCTGCTAGATATCTATGCACATCTCTATGCATTTCCTTTGAATGAATTCCTAGAATTGGAATTTCTAGGTCAATGGATGTACATAGTAAACTATGGATTTCATAGATACTGCCAAATTGGCCACTAGAAAATTCCTACCAATTTATAGTTCCACAAGGAACATGTGAGAGGTCATCAAGGGCCATCTGTATTTTGAGAGGTGGCTTGGCTTCATTACTAGGGGAGTGCTCTAGAAGTTGACAGATTTGGAGTCAAATCCTACTCTTCCACTTTTAGCATCCTGACTTGGGGCTCTTTAACCTTCCAACACTTCTGAGACCTTGCCTGCTGTCCCGGTACTCCTCAGGGTTGTTGTAAGAATTAAATGAGACAAGTGTGTATAATGGTTAGCTAATTTCCCCGCATGGAGCAGCATTCAGTAAATGATCACTTTTATTACCATGCCACCAACAGGAAACAGAAGTCTGTTTTCTATTATGTTTGCGTAGGTTTGGAGCAGGGGGCTAGAGGGTGAGAGAGTTCAGAATATGAACAGTTACTTTGAAAGAGAGCAAGTGATCAGGTTACATAGTATTGGAGGTCTAGTTTGCAGTTAGTGACAGTTACCTGGTGGTACAACCACTGATGTTAGGCCCACAGCATTTGAGCCACTTCTCCCTCTGATAAATCTACTCATACTGACTGGGACTCCAGCAATCAGAAGCAGATGGGGCAATAAATAAACCCAACCAGCTGAGGTACAAAAGACTCCTTGAGAGACGAACCCGGGCTGTACATGCATCCCACCTGCATCAAGGATCTGAGCAAAGACTTTTAGGAAGGGATATCTTGGATGGGTTGTTGAGATCCTCTAGTTGGATTCTGAATCTGTAGTTACTAAGAGGTATTTATAACACCATAAGATATACATAAAATAAATAAAATGTCAGCATCTTGCTAGTGGATCGCACTGCTGAAGATCAGGGTAATTACTAAGGCCATTTTGATTTGTATGAGAAATGCTCAGGTTTCTTTTTTTCTTTTTAATGTATTCATAATCCAAATAGCCTCTGCATTTGGAGGATGGGGAAAGCAAGATACGTTCCTTTGTACTATCAAAAAGAATAATTTACTTCAATTTTCTAAGAACTTATGCTTTTCTGATTATACCACACTACTGCATTTTTTTACAAAATGGTTCCAAATACTTATATAGGATTCTTTATTTTGCTTCTTCACTAATTATTTCTGGCAACAGTGCTGTGAGAAAGGTGCTCTTTTGTAGACAGGAAATCAAGTTTCATAGGATAACCAGTTTGCTTGGGCCCAGGATCTTGCACCAGCATTTATAAGCAGGCACATCAATTAGCTGTTTGTTTGTGATAATCTGCCTCCCCAGTGAGGAGGAACCAAGAAGGAACTCCTGCTGGTCTCAGGATGGCTGATATTTGGTTTCTTGATCCTGCTTCTGCCTGGAAATAGATCGTCTGCACCACAGAAACATGCTTGTATAATTAGCAATAATACTATGCATTTAAAGAACTTAGTCCCTCTGAAGACCTAAAATAACTTCATAACTATCTTATTCTTTTTAAAAATTCTTTTTTAAAAAAGCATTTACTTAATAAGTACGTCACAGTGATTAGTTCAATACCTATTTAAAAGGAATTTAAATTTTTTTTAAAGTATACAGTCAGTATAAATAGAACTGTATCATCTCCAATGTCAATACTAATGCAATGCAAAGCCAAACAGCCATTTAGCTATCGGTGTGCACTTGATCCAGTGTGTGTACATCTGTACCTTTCTGTGTTTATATGTGCCTTCTCATTTCTTGGCTAACTCTCCTAGGAAGTCTCCACCATTTCTCCGTATTCTCTAGTAAAAGGGCATGTCTCCAGCAGGCGCTCATTAACTGCATGTTGATGATGACTGTGATAACAGTAATGTAGGATGTAAGCTACAGCACTAAACCTCATTTTTCTTTTGCTCCAGGTCCTCTCCCACCACCTCCTCCAATAAACAGAAATGGCAGCACGTCTCGGGCCCTGCCTGCCACCCCTCAGTTGCCGTCCAGGAGTGGAATAGATAGTCCCCGAGGAGGGCCCCGGCCTCCTCTTCCTCCTGACAGGCCTGGTGCTGGGGCACCTCCCCCACCCCCACCATCCACAATTAGAAATGGCTTTCAAGACTCTTCATGTGAAGGTGCGGTATGGTCCCAGCCCCTTGGAAACATGCAAGCTATATAACAGGACAACAACTGAATCGCAGATGT